TCTGGGTATTTTTTCGGGGAGGAGGGAATCAAAATGTGAAGACGCACTGGATTATTTTGTGAGTAATCTGGTTTGGTAATGCTCCTGCCTTAATAGTGCCCTTAATTCGGCCTCTTGGGCAAAGGGCCCATCTCTTGCAGAGCAATGCATTGGTGTGGGGGTGGGGAGGTGCTTGGCTTCCTGTCCTCCCTATCCCTCCCTCAGTATTGAAAGAATAAGTCATCTGTCAGTTGCTGGAGGTTGTAAGTGCTCTTCCCATCCATGCAACCCGGAATAAAGGAAGAGGCTCGACAGAGGCAAGTGGCGGGGGTGAGGGTGGGAGAGCTTTGTCATGACTACGGTGGCTGAGAATGTAGGCAAGGTGACGCTTGGCCGGAGTTAGTGACCTCAGCAAATTGGAGCTTGGCCGTGGTCAGTATGATAAATGATCTCATTCTTACGAGGGGAGTGGGGAGCGGAGAGGGAGGAAAGGAAGAAGATAGGAGGGTGATGTCAGGGTGAAAGCGGTACTCCATGGGGAGGGGGTCAGAGGAGGCAGTTGAAGGATAGGTGCAGCACCTGCTCAGCCACCTCCTTAGTGACCAGCTTGACCATCATGATGGTGCCTCTTTCATAGCATCATAGAGTTGGAAGGAGGCCACAAGGGTCATCTGGTCCAGCCCCCTGTAATGGAAGAATCTTTTGCCCAACGTAGTTGTTATTATTATTATTATTATTTTATTTATTTATACCCTGCCCATCTGGCTGGGTTTCCCTAGCCACTCTGGGCGGCTTCCAACAAAACACTAAAATACAATAAGCTATTAAACCTATTAAACTTATTAAAAAGCTTCCCTAAATAGGGCTGCCTTCAGGTGTCTTCTAAAAGTTTGGTAGTTATTTTTCTCTTTGACATCTGGTGGGAGGGCGTTCCACAGGGTGGGCGCAACTACTGAGAAGGCCCTCTGTCTGGTTCCCTGTAGCTTGGCTTCTTGCAGTGAGGGAACTGCCAGAAGGCCCTCAGCGCTGGACCTCATGGGACTGAGATTAAGAGTCTCGTGCACTTCCGACTGAGCTACCAAGACAGCAGTAATTCCATTTTGTCTTGACTTCTGTGGCTTTTGTCTGAATTGTCTCACCTTTCTTCTCCTACACACTTCTTCCACCCACTTTGAAGACTTCGGCAGGTATCCGATCAGGTCCACTGGCTTTGTTGTTTTTCATTTGTTTAATAGCTGTACACAACTCTCCCAGATTTGGAGATACTGCAAGCTCATCTCTAATTTGTTTTTGTGGAATTTGTGAGAGGACCTTGGCAGCTACGGGGGAGTTGCGGTTAAGGAGATGCTCGTAATGTGGTACCGTCTGCTGAGCGTAGGGGGCATATGCCATGATTTTTTGGCCCAAAGAGGGTCTTTGTGGCTTTAAAGAAACTGTGCATCATGAGTGTCAGCTAAGTACTGGATCCCTTGAGCTTTTTTTATCCACCAGGTGTTCTTTAGTTCTCTGGTTCTTCTTCGAACCTCAACCTTAGCATTGGCATAGATTTTTTTCTTAGTGGCGTAGTTTATATCTTTTTGCCAGATCTGAAAGGCCTTCCTTTTCTTGTCAGTTATTGGTTCAGTCTCTGTCATTCTCATCAAACCTGTCCTGGTGTTTCTTGGTTTGGTATCCAATAGTTTGTTCACAGGCTGCAGTAATGGATGAAAATGTGTGTATGTGCGCGTGCTTTAACTCTATCAATGTTTAATTATTTTTAATGGTCTTTTTCTGTGTTTTTAGCTGTTCTTAGTTTTATCTGTAAACCTCCTTGACTCCCTGTCAGGGAAAAGGGTGGAGTATTAATATTATTAATAATATTTATACTCCGCCCATCCAGCTGGGTTTCCCCAGCCACTCTGGGCAGCTCCCAACAGAAACCCTTAGAGTGATGGGGTGGAGACACTCCTTCAGGTACACTTCAGGTAAATAATAATAATAATAATAATAAAGGAACGTTGTTGCTTGTGGATGAGCGACTTTAAAAACAGGGAAAGTTGTGAAAATATGAAGGCAAGACTCCAAGACAAAAAACATTCCACATTGGCAACTTGTCACCTTCTTAAAATCCTTTTAACAAATTATTTTCTCTCTCTTTCTTCTGTTGCTTCTCACCTGTCCAGTAGGAAATGAACTGATGCTATCACCATCTAAAATAAATTGTTCTTTGGCTGTCTCAGTCAAATTGATAGTATGAAAAGAAAAACAGCCTGCCACCCATTTCTTCTCTCTTTCCCACCCTTAATGCTACCGCAACCCACAGTGCCCATCTCCCTTGTCAGCTTTCTAAATAGAAAGATAAAGGATGGATTTTAATAAGGAATGGGGCAAAGACAAAGGGCTGTTGTTGATTTTTCAAAGAATGAGAGAGGAAACTGGCAAAGTAGTCTTCCTTGCTGGAGATCCCCTCCTGTGGTTTCCAGCAGCAACTGGTATTCAGAAGTGTGGCTGCCTTCAGGTGTGGATCATGGGTAGTAGCCACTGATAGCCCTCTCCAGTGATGATGGTGGTCATCACTGCCTTCCCATGGGACCCAGTTCCATAGTTGTAACTATATGTTGCATGAGGAAGTACTTTCCTTTAAACTAGCAACTAAGAAGTTTCCCCTCTCTCCCCCCCCGAAAAAAATAGGTTATTTTTTAAAATGGGGAACAGGAATGTAGGTATTTTGGGGGGAAAGGAATTGTGAGCTTGGTTCTGGTATTGATCACAAATTCCTGGTTTGTGCCGTTCTCAGAGACATGTAAAGTTCCTTCATTCTTAGTGTATGTCCATTTGCCTGAGCTGACATTTTATATTTCGGGGGTTCTCGTAAGAATAAAAGGTGGTATTTCAACCATGTTTTACTCAAGAGGAGACCTGTTGAAATTAATGAACATGAGAGTGGGGAACTTAAATTAAAAGAGTTTAAGGATTTATCAGGGATGTTAACAACATGGTTACAATATCATCACTTGAATGAATTTTTAAAAAAGGATATGAAGCTGGGGTTTGGGGAACAACTACCACAACTAGAGAGAGACCTGTTAAACTGTAATGTTAAAGTGATGTCTAAAATGTGTGAGATGTTATTGGAATGGGACACAAAAGATGAAAGAGTGAAATCTTCGATGATACAATGGGCAATTGATATTGGTCATAATATAGAAATGGAAGCACGGGAGTGATTATCGAATATGGGTATAAAATTTACAGCATGTTATGGTTTAAGAGAAAATTATATGAAAATGTTATATAGATGGTACCTAACACCCAGGAGATTGGCAAAAATGTATAAATCAAAATTTAAAAAGTCTTGGAAATGTAAAGAAAAATAAAGTACCTTTTTCCATATGTGGTGGTCTTGTAATAAGGTCAAAGCTTACTGGGAAATGATATATAATGAATTGGAAAAGATGTTTAAGATAACATTTGTAAAAAAAACCAACCCAAAAGCTTTTCTTTTGGAAATTATGGGATCAGAACTACCTAAACAGTATAGAAATTTATTTATGTATGTGACCACAAATAGAATGCCCAAAAATGGAAGGATGAAGAGGTCCTGATGAGAGAAGAATGGTTACAGAAACCATTCTTACCGGAAGAATAAGAAATCAAGATAACAAACTTTTTAGAAAGGAATAGAAATGGTTTATTGAGTATTTAGAAACAAAGTGTAAACAGATTGTAAAAACCTGCAGTTTCAAATATATATATATATATATGAGCTGTATATCAGAATAGATAAATAAAAGAATAAGTTAAGATAATTTGGAGCACGCACGAAAGGTCAAAAATAAATGTAAAGAACCACAGAAAGAGGGGGAAGGAAGTTGGAGTCAGAAATGTTAAAATTATGATTGAATAATTCTTGTAATGCATATAAATGAAATTTTTTTAAATAAAAATAATAATAATGAACATGACTAAGTCAGTCCCATTGATTTCAGTGGGTCTACTCTGAAGAAAACTTCATTGAATACCACCAAAAGTAGATCCCACAAACCTGAACCAAAAGCCACCCTGCCATTGCAACAGAATCCATCATTGAGAAGAATGAAACATGAACAAACGTTGTGTATACTATGCATGGTCCAAAGGCAGGACAACATGTTCCATGGACTGCTTGCATTTGGAAATCCCAACCGCTACCTTTCCCCCCAGGGATGCAGGTGGCGCGGTGGTCTTAACCACTGAGCCTCTTGGGCTTGCTGATCAGAAGGTCGGCGGTTCGAATCCACGCAATGGAGTGAGCTCCCGTTGCTCGGTCCCTGCTCCTGCCAACCTAGCAGTTCGAAAGCATGTCAAAGTGCAAGTAGATAAATAGGTACCGCTCTGGCGGGAAGGTAAATGATGTTTCCGTGTGCTGCTCTGGTTCTCCAGAAGCAGCTTAGTCCTGCTGGCCACATGACCCGGAAGCTGTACGCCGGCTCCCTTGACAAGTAAAGCGAGATGAGTGCTGCAACCCTAGAGTCGTTATATGACTGGACTTAACTGTCAGGGGTCCTTTATCGTTCCCCCACCCCCCACCGTGGCATTTGAGTAATGTGCTTTGCAGAGGAGAAGTGGTGGGTTGGAAGTGGCTGCTTTACCCCTTCCACAGCTGCCTCTTCACTTTCCCTTTCTATTTTTATTTCTAGTTCACCTTCCCCACCTCCTCAGGCCAGGGTTCTGGATGTGTGCATGGGGTGCTTATAAAATGAGGCTGGCGTTGGTGTGAGATGATGGGGTGCCCCTGCAAATACTTGAAAGCAATGAGGTGGCATCAACCTGGTCGTCCAGCGTCCTTTTGCAGGTAGCTCCTTCTGCTCACTGGAATTACTGCAGTGACAACTTTCCTTTCTTAATCAGCTTTTATCTGGGTAGGAAGAAATGTTAGCAATACTGTGTTCTGATTTCATATGGGCAGAAAATGTTACTGGGCACTGCTGCTAAAGCACAATCCAAATTAATTCTTTCTTTTCTTTTTCTCTCCCACCCCACCCCCCCAAAAAATATTGCAGGGGATGTTCGAAACTTGCTGGTGTGGATTAAAGAGAACCTGTTGAAAGAGAGGCCGGAACTGTTTGTGCAGGGAGATTCTGTGTAAGTAACTGTGATTGCCCAGAAATCGTCCTGTTCTGGATGTCCCCAGGAAGGCTGGACATGAAGGCAGCTGCCCCCTCCACTTGTTTGCCTCCCCCACCTCCAAAATCAACCAGTATTTAGAGCAGGGACAGCCAGATGTTGTTGGACTACAATCCCCATAGCCCTTTACCATTGGCTTAGGCTGATGGGAGTTGGAGTTGCAACAGCATCTGCAAGACACCATGTTGGCTGTTCCTGATTTAGAGGGATGCTGTGACTCCATTTAGCTGTTGGTGGATTCCTTGTGCTCCATGAAATTGCCTTACTCCATAGTCCTAGGCATGCCTACTCCCACATAAGGCCCTCTCCATTCACTGGGGTTTGTTCTCATTTACAAGGGGGTACAGCAGGGGTGGGGAACCTCTAGCTCAGGGCCCAAACGGAGCCCCACAAGCTCCTACCCAGCCAGCACCAACCCCTTTCCCCAGGGTGCACACACTCCCAGAGTGTATTTTGCTTGGCTGAGATTTGTCCTTTAATTCTGAGGGTGCATTCTGCTTCCCTGGATAGAGAGGGGAGAGAGTGGCGAGGGTTGGGGTATAGCCTACTGTACACAGCTAAAAATGCATTTGTTTTTTCACCCACTTTTGCCTCTGGTCCCACCCACCACTGGCATATGGCCCTTGGAACATTGCCCTAAAGGGAATGAGGCCCTCGGACTAAAAAAAAAATCCCCCAACCCCTGGGATATCGCATTGCAGCATTTAGTCACCTTTTCTAAAGCCATCTAGATGGGTGGCCTTTAGCAAATCCTGAGCCAGCAAATTCTAGAAGTCCTTTGTGCCTTGTGTGCAGGCTGTGGAATTTCTGCAGGTAGCCCTGCTCCCACAGCAGTTCTAGTACGGCAGAAAAAGGAAAATAAACCCCTCATTTAATTCTTATGGGCTCGGTCAACCAGCACCCCACTTTAGCATCACATGACGTCCTGTGCTTTCTGCCACCTATGTTCACACAGGCGCCGCCTCTGTCTTTTCAAGACGGAAGTGCTGAGTAGCAGAGCCTTCCTGGGAGTCCTCCCCCACCCCCTGTCATCCTCCAGGAGCAGGGAAGAGCCCTCCTCTGCAGCGAGTGGGGGCGGCTGCGTACTTAACATTCGTCACTGCTCTGTGGTGAGCTGGAGCGTGCGCCAAGTCCCCTGGCAGCGACAATTGTTGGCAGTCAGAAGAGGGGGAATCCCTCTGTCTCTGATCCAAGGCTTCACAGTTGATCCTGTCTGTTTACAGCCATTTAGCGAAGTGGCTGCAGTTGCTCACTCTAGCCGCATTAACCTGCCCCTGTGCTCGATTTGCAGGGAAGAGATTTCAATTACGGGACTGGGCTGCGTGGTGTCGAGGAAAAGCTTCTGCTGGTTCACAGCCATCTTTGGGGCAATTTGCCTCTGCATTTGGTCTTCCTCTCCAAGCTTGCAATGGGCAGTGCCCATCATCTCCATTTTGCAGTTTCTCCCATTTATTTTGATTCATTACCCACTCCCCTTCAGAACGCTTTGTAGAACGGAAGGGATTATTTTGCGGGAGAGGGGAAAGTGCCATTTCGGTCAGCCCCCACCCCCTGCCTCACATACACACAATCCCAAGAGGCTGTTGTAGAGCCAGCAAAAAGACCACTGAATTGGCAAAGAAGCTGGATCACCTTTCCTATGAAGCAATGCAGGGGTTTTTTTGGGGGGGGGTTAATTTGTAGAGGGGGTTAGATTCAGTATTTTGTGGTGGATCATGAGTGTCTGTAAACTGCTTTGGGAACCTATCTTGGCTGAGAAGTGGTGGCATAAATAAATAAACCTTGAGCCATTTGTTGAATTGGGGAAATGATGTATATTTAGCACACAAGCTATACGCAAGCATATGAGCAAGTAATGGTCATTGTTGGATGTATTTTGTGATTACACCATGCCAGCGTGAAATTTGGTATTGAATGCAGATTTCAAGATCCTTAATCTCTGCAGTCGTTTTAAAGACGGAATAGAGCTAGTCTGTGGAACATATGATGTCAAAAAGGCAGGGCATTCTCTGTTTGTGTATCTCTTAAACATTTGCGTTGTTATATGCATACTACTACTACTACTACTAATAATAATAATAGGGAGGTGAAGATAACCTAAGCTCGAAAAATGCTAAGGCAGCATCTGGTGATATCTCATTTGCTGAGCAGGTACTGAGTTTTCAGCAGTAAGCAGATGAGTACATGGCAGAAGAAGGGAAAGGGCCATAGCTCAGTGGCCGAGCAGCAACTTTGCATGTAGAAAGTCCCAACTTCAATCTCCAATGGCATCTCTATTTGACAGTAACAGATCATTCCCATCAGTAAGTAGAATTCGTCTTGATGGAGAAATAGTCTGACCAGGTGTGAGGCAGCTTTTCAGATGCTGTACGTTTTCAGTCACAACTCTGCAAGCATGAGATCCAGAAACTTCAAAAATGAAAGCTTATATTGTTCTCAGATACTCAATTGCCTTTTTTCTGCATTGCGTTTCAAATTTTGCTCAAAACTGTGCTTGCATTTTGGCAGACAGTGGACAGCTTTCAGTCTTTGGTCATACCACTCCCTAAGAATTGGCAGGTGTTAATCTGTTTGAAGTTCTTTATCAAGCAAAAGGCTTTTCATTATTTCTGGGAAGAGGAGGAATGTATGAACCCAAGGTCTGAAAGTCTTTTGCTCAGAGGGCACAATGACCCAGAGCAAAATCTGGCTTAAATAATGAATATATATGGGAGATGTTTGGCTGTGGTACATGTGAAAATGATATCGGGGTGACTTGGTAGTGTTTTAGTTTACTGTTGTTAGCCATATTGAAGTCATTTTGAAGAAATGGAGGATATTTTTTTCTTTGTAAAATAAGCATTAACTGCAGTAAATCACAAGCTGAACATGATGCTGAAAATAAAAAAGAAAAGTTGAATGTGATTTTTGGACGCCACACTTTAAGAGGGATGTAGACAAATATCCTTTCAGGAGTTCCAGGAGTAATAGTACAGTTGCATACTCAGTTATACTCAGAGTAGACTCAGAGTTGGATACCACCTATATGAAAAACAAGTCCAACAAGGAAATGTTGAATGAACTGGGCATATTTAGCCTAGAGAAGACAAGAGCATTAGGAGAAGCCTCTTAATTGCAAAAGCAGTTCAACACTGGAACTAATTTCTTAAGAGTTGGGCTGTCCCTCACTGGATGTTTCCATGCAGACGCTGGACAGCTGGTGACTAGGTCTGCTTGCTTGCAATGCTCTAGATCTCTGGATTTCCTGCCTCAAGGAAGGGACTTGATCTACAAGACACCCTCTAGGTCAGTGGTGTCCAAAGTCCATTTCGGGGGCCTAATCTGGCTTGCCAGTCAGTTTAATCCGGCCCCTGTGGCAATTTATTTACTGGAGTAAAATCCTTAAAAAAGCTCAACAACTGGAGTAAAATCCTAAACAAAAGTTCAACAACTTCAGTCCTAAAAAAAGGTTAACAACTTTGGCTGGCCTTTTGGTCGGCCCTCACGGCCCTTCACTTCATCAAATCTGGCCCTCTTTGAAAAAAGTTTGGACACCACTGCTCTAGATCTATGATTACTACCTTTCCTAATTGGCCCACCTAGCTCAGTGTAGTCTACATAACTGACTTCCCAGGGTTTCAGGCAGGGAGGTGTCAGGGATCGAACTTGGAACCTTCTGCATGCAAAGCAGGTGCTCTCCCACTGAACTACAGCCCTTCCCCTCCTCCTTCAGAGACTTATGGTATTCCCTGTTGTGTCAACAGCTTCTCTGTTTTGTTGCAGGCGGCCTGGAATCTTGGTGCTGATCAACGATGCAGATTGGGAGTTGATGGTTTGTATGGATTCTGCCATTTGGGGATCTTGTTTATTGGGAACTGTGTTCCAAATTCTCTTGCTGACCATTGTTAGAGTGACTGGCTCCCCCTCAACTTCAGGGAGGGAGGAAATGGTGCCTGGATTTCTGATCTTTTGTGGACGACTACCTCAGTTTTGTAATTGTAATGAGATGGTTTTAGTAGTGTTTTTATGTTTTTTAATTTTGTGTATGAGCTGCTTTACGCCAAGAAATGTGGTGCATAGACACCAGAATGAAATAAAATATTTTGTGGGATTCCTAGAGGCATTCCTACTACTACTACTACTACTAATAATAATAATAATTTATTAGTGCATCTTGGATTATTATTATTATTAACGTTTAAAATTATTAGGACACCTTGAATTTGGCCTGAAAATGAACTGACATCTGACTGGCCGCAGTGCAAAACAGGTTTCTGGTCTAGTTTTGGCTGCTCTGACTATAAAAGCAACAGAAGCTAAAGCATTAAGGTCAATGTATAGAGCAAGGATGGGGAACATATGTGGCTCTCCAGATCTTGCTAGACTCCAGCTCTCATCACTGACTGTTAGCTAGAGAGGCTAATAGAGGTTAAAGTCCAACACATCTGGAAAGCTGCACACTTCACATCTCTCATATAAAGAAATCATTCTCATTTTGTTTTCTTTTCCTTCATTTAGGGGGAGCTGGACTATCTGCTCCAAGACCAAGATAATGTCGTTTTCATCTCCACCTTGCATGGTGGTTAGACTGCTGGGAGTATGAAAAAGAATAATTGTGCTGGTGTGCAGAAGGGATTCCTGGCCCAGGCATAAACATTCCTTGCTCTCTTGGCTGTCACCCCAGATCAGAGTTGGTTTCTCATTAGCTCCTTTTCTTTAATGAAGTCTGCCCTTTTGACACTTGGCTCCTCCCACCCAGTGGTTCAGCTCTCGCCTCTTTTGTCCAAGAAGATCGAAATAATTTCTGCACTTGGTCACCCTCTTCCCTGCTCCAGGAGGCGCACACCATGGAACAAATGGCTGAAAATGAGCCGCTTTGCGTGTGGAACGGCTGAGCTCACTGTGGCTGTCACACTTGTTTGCTGGCTTCTCCTTGGCAGCAGCAGGGGAAGGTCTGTGATCAAAGAGGGGATCTCTCCTTCCTTCCAATCCAAGCCTTGGATCAGGTTGCAACCATTAACAGTCATTAAGGGATATGGGGGGCATTCAGGGAAGATGGCAGATGCAAGACACCCTCAGCCTATCTGCTCTTGATTTACCATGCATGGATTTCAGTTCGGTTTTAAAAGGTTTTTAAAAGTACCCATCTAGAGCCAGCTCACAAATGGTTACTTTGAATTTTGATGCCTATGAACTGCACTTTTGCTTGCCTTTTTTTAAAGAAAAAAAATCTAGATGACCCTCAGAGTCCCTTCCAACTCTACAGTTCTATGGTGCTCTGTTTTTTTTAATCTTCTGGAGGCACTGCCTGATCCTGTTCTGCATTAACAATAAACACACGAGACGTAACCGGCTGTGTTCTTAGATAAATAAGGTATACTATTCATTGTATCAATTTGTAAATTTCAACAGAAGTAACTCATAAAGTTCAACAAACGAACAAAGCAGAAGATCCAGTGGATCAGATCATTCTCTAGTCAGTTCATGCATAAGGTCCCTTTGATGTACAGTTGTTTATTGTTTGATACTATTTTTGCTGTAAAATGTGTGAGATCATGATATTGTATTTATTTGCATTACTCAGTGCTTTAACTACTGATGAAGCCCAGGACAGCAAAACAAGGCCAATATTCCAGAAATTCTTGTCTAGACCCTGTGAAAGGATTTTGTGGAACTGTAACAACCTTTCATGTGGATTGTTTGGACTTTATGAACAGACAGGTGAAATAGACACCATTACACAGATGGACCTTATGCATGAACTGACTAGAGAATGATCTGATCCACTGGGTCCTCTGCTTTGTTCGTTTGTTGTACTTTATGAGTTACTTCTGTTGAAATTTACAAATTGATACAATGAATAGTATACCTTATTTATCTAAGAACACAGCCGGTTACGTCTCGTGTGTTTATTGAGGATGCTTTACGTGACCATAGGTTTGTTTGTTGTTGTTTTGATCCTGTTCTGCTGCTGCAGCTGCGTATGCATGCGATTGATTTCCCTTTTCAAATCGTTTGCTCTGCACTGTTCTGTCGCAAAGTTTTGCAATGTGTTGCAGGGACAGAGTGCTTCATTTGAAGCTGGGTGTTCTGGACTCAGATTCTGCCTCAGCCTTGTACTTACTTCACTGGGTGGCCTTGAGCAAGTTGTTCTCTATGTTAACTTTAGTTCCACATGTGTAAAGTGAGATTTGAAATGATCTACTCTGCAGGATGGTTGTGACAATAAACAATAAAAGTTGTGAAACGATTCTGAGTATAGGAGTAAATGGTACCAATGCTACAGTTCCTGTGATGATTCACAGTTTGCATTGCGTTGGTCAGTGTTGTCTCTGTTTTAATTCTGGGCCAAGGATCTCCTCTGATCTGCAATGTGCTTTGAGGTGGTCTTTGAGATTCTGTTGGAAACAGGGAAACACTTGAGTTTCTTTTGAACTCTCTCTCACTGCTGAAGAAGCATGCCACTTTTCTGCTTTTAGAGTCTTAAATAGAAACGCTGCTTGCTTCGTCCACAATTCAAGCAACATCAAAAGGACTTGCAGGAAGACCCAAGTTGTTGCTTGCTCCAGTTGGCTATGATCTGGGGAAATACGGCCTCTGAAGTACTAGGAAACCAGACTCCTCATCTCCAGTAAAACAACATGACAACGGTTGGCTTAGGTTTCAGCGTAACAGTTGGGATGACTTGTGTGGATGCTTCACTTGGGAAATAGTTGTCTTATTACCCTTGTCTTGTCCATCCTACAGGGACCTCCCAAGTATGGCACCCTCCAGATGTTAAGACTATTGCTCCCATCAGCTATGGCCAGTGGTCATAGCTGTTGCAGAAAGATAGATTGTGTGGTCTGGGCACTTCTATAGTCTGATCATTCCCTGGGATGCTAGTACTAAATGAAACAACCTGGTTCATGCGTCACAGTAAACCATAGGTAATGGTTTACCACTTACACCCCCTTTCCACCCACTTTGCCCCTCCATGGTAGCAGATGAATGAAAGAAACCACGATGCATGGCTTAATGTTACATCTGAACTGGAGATTGTGGTCAGTTTTGCTAAAACAAACCTTGGCTACAGATTGTGGTTTGTTTTGGTGTAAAAAACCACAGTTCCCTGTTCAGGTGTAACACTAAGCCAAGGATTTTACCTTGTGCCCCCACATGCTGGGGAGGGAGGGGAAGCTGAGTAAACCATTTTGTATGTCACATATTTCTGTAAGATACAAACTGGGCAGTTTTCCTTTACAGCACTCTGATGGGCATACACACTGCCCCTTCCCCAGTCATCAAATCCTTGTTTGATGAGCAGGGAGGGAGCTGTTCTGCGCATGTCAGCTGAGTGCACCTGCGGGAGAGCATGTGCTATAGAGCAGAAGTGATGGCATGTAGGTTTGTGAGAGTGTGGGGTGGCCACTTCCACTGCTGGCATCCCCGGAGGGGAAAGGCTCTCAGCACCTCCTACTTCGGCTAACAGAGAGGGATTATCCTGCAAAGAAAACTACAGCTAGGATTCAATCTTGGAACCTGTTCTTAATGCCTGGTCTTAGCCCTGGGCCATGCGCAGGGTGCCTCTCTTGCTACTATGTAATTTTAATCAGTTTTATATTTGAAATTTGAGGTATGAGCTTGCAGACCACTCAGCTGCCCTCTCTTCTCCCTCGCGCCAAGAACAGCTTCCGTGCACAGCCTCACGATGCAGCTTCAAGTCCCTCTTCAAAACATACTTTTCCCACGTTGCCTTTGACACAACCCCCTTGGTCCACAACTCCTGCTGGAGGTAACCCCATGGTATACGAAACTGGATGCAAATCCTGCCTCCACCTCCCTCTCCTGTGTGTGATTTGCTTCCCATTGTAAGCTGCTTGCGAGCAAAAGACTCTCATTATGTCATAAAGTTCCACACACACGGTAAATAAATAGTTCCAGTTGACCTCCGGCACCTCACTCCAAGTAAACAACTAGCAGAAACATCAGCCTTGAGTTACGCATGCTCATAACAAAGGAACAAATTCAGAAATGACAGGCGTTAAGAGTGGTTACAGTTATTAATTCTCACTTTATTGTGGTTTTTATAAGGCATTATATACCTCCAGTACAGGGAAAAAACCAAGCATTGTATTTGCCCAAGAGCAAGAGGGCAAGTTAATGGCACAGGATTTGCAGCCTGGATATTTGTTTTCTATGAGCGAAATAAATAAATAAAACTAAGGATCTCCGTTGTCAAGCCGTTGTGCATAGAAAATTTTAAAGTAAAGGAAATGGCTTTGTATTTTTGGATTGTGGGAATTTTCCACTCGAGTTGTAATTTTTGCACAGAAAGCAATTCAGTTTTTGCAAACCACTCTGGGTCATAGCTGTCAACTTTCAGATTTGAAAATAAGGGATCAACAGCCTTGAAAATAAGGGATCAGCAGCCTCACCTGTCCCGGGGACAGTCTACAGGATATCTAACAATCCGGGATAGCAGTGGGAAGCAGCGGGAAATGGCACTGAAATAAGGGAATTTCCTGCAAAAAAAGGGAAGGTTGACAGCTATGCTCTGAGTACATAAGGGACACACAGCTTTGTGGAAGAGCACCTGCTATGCATGCAGAAGGTCCCAGGCTCAATCCTCCAGGTCAGCCTTCCTCAGCCTTGATTCCCCAGATGTTGGACTACAACTCCCATCATCTATGCTAGTGATATAAGAATTAAGAGACCCCAGGTGTATATTTTTTTAAAAAAATTAAATAATGTTTCAGTGTTTCACTTTAATTGCATTTAACCTTTTCGAATGAATTAGGCTTGATTTTTGTGAGATCTGCGTTTGTGAGCCTCTTCTTCCGATGCTGCGCTCCATCTCCTTATCTGACCTCGAAAGTGGCACAAATGGCAGAATGAGTTAGTACCAGGGTGCTAAGCAGAAATCTGTGGAAGTTTCCTGAAAGATAGATGGAGAAATGTCAATAAAGACTGGTCATAGACTAGATTGCCAGGACATCAATACCTAAAATGGGCAAAAGGCCTAGGAGCTTCTGGTCAACGCCAAGGGGATAGCAGGTGAAGTAGAGAGCAGGAACACGCCGTATGTGTTTTCTATCCCATTACCTGTAATCTTTCCTGACGTATGTGAATAATATGTCTTGTGACTCTTTGTTTGCTGTGTTTGAACTACTAAACAAGCTTTTGTCCTGAGGTGCCTTGGGGCAGACCTTCTCAACTGGCACATTGGGTTGAGCTCTGTCCTATTGAAATAGAATAGCTAAATAAAATAAATAAAAGTGCCAGGTCCCTAAATCTGGATGCTGGACTTGAAATAGTTTCCTTGGTTCTGTCGTTCATTTAAAAGGTAGTCACTCACCTGGGTAACAGACAGAGGTAGTATAGAGGTAAATTCTTACCATACTAGCAGGACCAGTGGTCAGGGGTTATGGGAGTTGTAGTCCAGCAACATCTGGGGGGAGGCTGTTCCAGGTAGTACTAGGACTGCCCCATTTCTGATAACCTGGAGAGTTGCTGCCAGCCAGTGTAGACAATAATGAGCTGGATGAGCCAGTGGTCTGATGGCAGCTTACCATGGTCATAGGAAAGGAGGACAGAGTGTTTAAAGGGGCTGGAGTAGCCCATGCAACAGCTAACCTCAGACTCTTGTGTTTTGCCGAAAAAGAGGTAAGGGGCTTAAAATGTCTGGAATATGCAGCTGCTGTCATCTGTAGCCCTCTGACTGAAGAGTAAGGAACCTGTGGCTTTCCAAATGATCCTGAACTAACCTGCATCATCCCTGACTCTTGCTGGGGGATGTAGTCCCACCATGGTTCAGCCTTGAGTAGGGTTCAACAGTTGAGCTTGGGTCTCCTTTAAATGTTACATTCTCTACAAGCTTGTGATGGGTTGCTGTTGTTGCTGCTGCAGCAGCAGCAGCAGAAGAAGAACAAGAAATCAAAATTCTGAATGGAAAATGGTTTAATGTTTAAGCATCTCAGCCTAGGAATGCTGATACCTGGCTTCAAATTGTGTATTATTTATTACTGAAGTGAGCTGCTGTTGTGTGTGTTTTCTTAAAAAAAGATGAGCCGTTTTGATAATAAATGTGGGACAGTGGGATAAAAATATTTTGAATTAAAAACCAACTGCCTACTTGCCCTTGAAGCTTTCTGGGTAACTTTCAACTAGTCACTGCATCTTTGAGCCAAGCCTACCACACAAGGTTATTGTGAAGACACAGAAGAGCACATCCTTCACCTAGAGCGTCGTGGAAAATGGGGTGGGGGAACATGAATACACTGGTGCAGAACAAGACAAAACTGGATTTATTTTGTGGGTCTCTAGGAAACTTGTACCAGTGCTATAATATTTTTCTGCTTCCAGAATTTGAATCTTTCCAGGGAATAATTTTAAGTCCCTTTAAGGAATGGTTAAGGGACGCGGGTGACGCTGTGGGTTAAACCACAGAGCCTAGGACTTGCCGATCAGAAGGTTAGTGGTTCGAATCCCTGCAATGGGGTGAGCTCCCGTTGCTTGGTCCCTGCTCCTGCCAACCTAGCAGTTCGAAAGCACATCAAAGTGCAAGTAGATAAATAGGTACCGCTCCGGCGGGAAGGTAAATGGCGTTTCCGTGCGCTGCTCTGGTTCGCCAGAAGCGGCTTAGTCATGCTGGCCACATGACCTGGAAGCTGTACGCCGGCTCCCTCGGCCAATAAAGCGAGGTGAGCACCGCAACCCCAGAGTCGGCCATGGCTGGACCTAATGGTCAGGGGTCCCTTTACCTTTTTTTAAGGAATGGTTAGGAAGCCTGTGGCCCTCCAGCTCGTTTGACTCCATCATCCCTGACCATTAGTCATGATGGCTGGGACTGATAGGAGTTGGAGTGCAATAACTTCGGGGGGGGGGGCACAGATTCAACCATCCCTGCTGTAAAGCTACTGTCAAAGAGCTTGCTTGGATGAGGGGTGGGACTGCCTGGATAGCTCAGTTGGTGAGAGCATGGTGCTGATAATACCAAGGTTGCAGGTTCAATTCCCATATGGGGCAACTGCCTATTCCTGCATTGCTGAGGGTTGGATTAGATAATTAGGTGTCTGTTGCCACAGTGTTTGGCAACTGCAGAGATACAGAAAATGCACTTTGGTTGGGTTGGTTCAGTGAGGTAAGTTGGAAGGTGATACCAAGATATGCAAGGAGGAGAGAGGATATGGAAAGGATGTTTTTACATTTCAGGAGAAAGGACTTAGATGATCAAATTGTCCTGAACTTACTGGTTTCGGGGAAATTTTCCAGTGATCAAAAGCACTCCAGCCAAACATCCCTTGTGCTTTATGGCATATACACGTGTATATGCAAATCTTCAAAATAACAGAGGAACCAAGGCTGAAGATAACAGAACAAGTCCTGATGTCTCCATATCCAACGCTGAAGGAAGTTGGAGGTGAACAACAGGAAGTGGATGACTTCATCACCTGCACACTGTGTGCGGCAAACAGTCCATAGCTGTTGGTTCCAGACAGTGAGGTGTAAACCTGGGGAAAGTATGTGTAGGTGCATTCAGTTGAACCCATATGGTAGCCCTATATCTGTGGGATTTGTTTCCAAGTGACATCAGGCAAGCCCCAGTCCTATAAATTTTCAGGCAGGTTCTGAAAATCCATCTGTTCTCCACAGCTTTTAGGAAACAAATTTTAAGCTGTTGTTTTTATGTACTGGTGTGTTTTAAGGAATTTTAAATTTGTTTTTTTTTTTAGAATTAAACTGTGTTTTGAATTTCCATCAGCTGTGTTTGCTGCTCTCTCCCCAAAACCAGGATAAAAATCTAAAAATCTCTTTCTTTCTTTCTCTCTCTCTCTCTCTCTCTCTCTCTCTCTCACACACACACACACACACACACACATATATATATATATATATGGGTTGGGGGGAGTACACAGAGCTATTTAACTATTACAAATGAATGTCTCATTCAAAGTGACAGTACTTGTTACTATTTGTAATTCAACTGAAGTAACCCTATCACAAACTTCATGTGCATGTATACAGATAGATATGACAGGTTCAATTTAGAGAATGTGCCTTGCTCAAACCTATGTCTTTAGCTTTATGGCCCCACAGAAATTTGAATGTGGGTATAACCTTTCAACTTTTTGTTTATTTATATGTACACCACACACTGCTTATTTTAATAGGCTGTTGTTTTACACAATAAAACCATTCATTTAGTGTCCAGTCCTAACCCCAGTTACCTGGGGCAGGGCTCCATTGAATTCAATAGGACTTACTTCTAAGTAGACATGGTTACGACTGCACTGCTAAGTCAATGAGACTGATTACAAGTAAGTTCTCCGGAATTTGCAGCCCTGGGGACAGGAACTGCAGTGTATGTCAAGACCCACAGATACCTTGGTTCTCTCCCCTCTCATAAACGGTGGGTTCTTTCTGTTCCAAATTGGTATCCTAAGCTACTGAATATCAAGCTAAAATATATGTTCTGACATTCCTCTTAATAAGAACCAAAGAGGAACTGAAACATGGCGCCTACTGCTGCCACAATACTGATAGGACTTGATCTTATTTGACACTATTACAAAATGAGACATGATCAGATAACAAGACAGTCCTTGAACCATTGCTGGCTAATAAAATATCAAGGTAAAGGTAAAGGTACCCCTGCCCTTGTGGGCCAGTCTTGACAGACTCTAGGGTTGTGCGCTCATCTCACTCTATAGATCGGGGGCCAGCGCTGTCCAGAGACACTTCCGGGTCACATGGCCAGCGTGACAAGCTGCATCTGGCGAGCCAGCGCAGCACACGGAACGCCGTTTACCTTCCCGCCAGTAAGCGGTCCCTATTTATCTACTTGCACCCGGGGGTGCTTTCGAACTGCTAGGTTGGCAGGCGCTGGGACCGAGCGACGGGAGCGCACCCCGCCACGGGGATTCGAACTGCCGACCTTTCGATCGGCAAGCCCTAGGCGCTGAGGCTTTAACCCACAGCGCCACCCGCGTCCCTAATAAAATATCAAGCACTGTTTTAAAAAAAAGGCAACAAGTTTGCATACTACTTTGTATTACCCCTGTTATTCCAAAAGCAGTTGATGATCTTCCAAGTGCATTCAGAGGAACTGATCTCACCCACCTTGCATCCTGTTATATACTGGTGTTAGAATCCCCCAAACATAATTCATTTATATTAGAATTTGCTAAATATTAGTTTTTGCTCTTCAGGGCGTACCTACCATCTGAAGAGTAATTTAGCTTGCAACAAAACACTCTGGAGTTATCTGGGGGAAAGAGATAAGTTTAGCATATAAAACCAATTTCCCATGGGGTTATAATGCAACCACCAAGGTCTCTATTCCATATGAGCCTTAGTCCACATGTATTGCAGAATGAGGCTGTGGATTTCTGAGTGTCAACTGTACCACAGCAGGTGGGCAGGTTCCCTATTTAAACATGTTAAAAAAACACACACACCTCTCAGTGCAAGTAGAAGACTAGCATTTCCGGGAGCTGGATGGACCTCAAAGCTGTCCAAACCATATATTGTGGCAGGGAGTTCCATAAATTAATAGGTGCATTATGAATGCTATGAAGGGTGAGGACACAAATAAGATTAAGAAGTAATTAAATTATTGCTGTGTTTGGACAAAGAGTGACTAAGAGAGGACTTGCACTTTACTTTATTTTAAAGGTGAAGTACAAACATACACACACAAAAAGAGATCCTGATGATAGTGAATTGTGTTACTGCGCTTTTTTTAATGGGTGAGGTTTCCCTATAATAACCCCCCCCCCATGAATTGGATTATTAAGAGCCATAAAACTGTTGGTACAATGGGGATATCTGCAACTACTTATTGGCTGTGTGCTGTGCTGCCCATAACTCCCGGGGTGGGGTGGGGGAGCATTTATAAGCTGCCTTTATGTACCAGTACATGGTTGGAAATACATGAGCCACAGTTGTGGATGTGTATTGGCAGCTCTAACTCAGATAATTATCACACACACACACATATACACGTGTGCATACAGAGACCCCAGGATCAAGCTTTGCCCTGCACTGTGAAGACTCACTCAGCCCTGAGCAAGAATATATCTTTGTAAGTTTCAGGTACCGATTCTGACACGCACACGCACACACGCGCACACACACATATATACACAAAGACACACACCACGGTCCTCTAGGGTGATCTAAGGCAGTGTTTCCCAACCTTGTGCCTCCAGATGTTTTTGGCCTACAACTCCCATCATCCCTGACTAGCAAGACCAGTGGCAAGGGATGATGGGAATTGTAGGCCAAAAACAGCTGGAGGCACAAGGTTGGGAAACACTGATCTAAGGCAAGGTATGTGTGTCCATGCGTCACAGAGAAAAGAGAATTCTAGGGTTTATGAGGCTTTTTTTGGTCCTGACAGAGCACAGAGCACAGGGAAGCTACATTGGTTGGAAATCCCCACTTCTGAACTACATCAAAGGGACCAGAAGTGTGTGTGTGTGTGTGTGTCCTCCCAACATTGCAACACAATCTGATCACCCTAATTTTATTAACTTCTCCCTTCTCCCTTCTGCATCCTAACCCGGTTTTCACTGGTTGCAAAAGATGGCTAGATTGCAATGTTAAAAAAACAAAGGCATGTGCAACAAAGGGATTTGATGGGAGAGGGGAGAGGGGACACGGACGGACACACACACACACACACACACACACACAGACACACACACACACACACACAGCATCTGTTCTGTGGCCTAGGACTGCTCCCCATTCTCCTGGGGGGTTATATGGGACTGTGAGGCAACCTGACTTTTCATAAGAAGTGACACACGACACAGGTACAGGACTAATGGTTATACTGGGTGACCTGTTCTATGGGCTCTCGGGTTTGGGGGAGATAAGTGTTGAATGCGGAGGGTTTGGAGGCAGAGGCTATAACAGAAATTCTATAATATATTTGTCCTGTGCTGCTCAGGGCCTGATTTTGATAGCAGGATTTCAGGTGATGGAGGTGCATGGTTTCTCGTTTCTCCCTTTATTCCTGCCCTGAGACTTTGGCATGGCGGGAAAGGACCGATAAAAACTCCAAATAACTTAAAGCAACAGGATGCTGAACAGAGGGCCCTAAAATCTGAGGGCTAAAGGGATGTTATGAGGCTAGGATGGCATGGGTTTATAAGGAGGCTAAGCCTCTCTTATGGGGTTCCAGGAGAGAGTGGAGACTTTGTCCTATAAATTAAGTCACCCCACAGAACACCCATAGGCTTCAATCCTCTGCCCACTCACCTGGAAGTAAATCCCATTGATTTACACATGGACAGGATTTCCCTGTTGAGGCTGTATCGGTAGATGTTTTACTTCTTCTTGCACTGAAGCCTTGTCTGTTTTGTGGCTCTAGCAGCTGGAAGACTCATCTGTGAAATGGCTGCATCAAACTTGGAGGCAGTCTTCAGTAAAAGACTCTCCTATCTTAAAAGCAGACACATTCTCAGACTTTTTCTAACTCACCACCACCTCCTTGCACAAATGCATGACACAAAATGTGTGTCTTAGGCTCCCACGCCAACACCACCCTCCACCTCCAACCTGGTTTTCATCACAGAATGACTCCCCAACCCTTCTCAGGGTCCCCAGCCCCATTTATTCACTGTGAGGTGAAGTCTGACTTCTACAAAACCTGCACAAGCAAAAAAGACAAGCAGTTCATAGCCTCGGGGAGAGAGGAGCATTTCTAGAAGCTGGACGCTCTAGAAAATGGAGACAAGGAGGAGGCTATATGGTGGGGAGATCCAGATGCGTTGCCTTTGGAAGGGCCAGGGACCGTTGCAAAGCCTCCCCCTCCCTTGTATGTGCGACTCTTTCTAGTTCCCAGAGTGTGGGCCTTTTGAAACCACGTGGCGACACCTTCCTCCTCATCCCTTCCAGGTACTGCCAGCCAGCAACTGTCTCAGGTTTTCCCCTCAGTCATCACATCACTAAGGGGAGAGGAACCGCGGGTCCTGGCTGGCCCCTACCACCTTGGTGGCCTGCACCAGATAAAACTGCAACGGAACACCTAAATAGGCGCTCCAGAACAAAACATAATTTCCAAAAAAGGCGTTCGTCCCTGGCAATGACGGAAAGAGACCTCGTTTCGATTGCTGTCAGAATATTATCTCTCTCTCTCCACCTCTAAATAGGAAGGAAGAATCAAAGATGCGAGAATTTGGGGGTATGGAGCGATGTTTTGTTCCTTCTAATCTACGCGGGGCGCCAACCACGTTCATGTTTATATTACATTTTTTAGCAGCTCAAACTCATCTTCCAAAAAAATATAAAATAAAATCGAAACAATCCGGGCGCTGCTCTCTGCTCCAATTTGCATGACTTCACACACGCGCTTAATCCGGGAGTTACTCAAATTCATCCACGGAGGGAAATTTCAAGACACACCGTACTCTGCCTGGCTGCCGTTCTTCCTATCTGAATGTTGCGCCCAGTTCATTCTACCCATCTTTCTTTTCTTTCTTTCTACCCATCTTTCTTTCTTTCTTTCTTTCTTTCTTTCTTTCTTTCTTTCTTTCTTTCTTTCTTTTCTTTCTTTCTACCCATCTTTCTTTCTTTCTTTCTTTCTTTCTTTCTTTCTTTCTTTCTTTCTTTCTCTTTCCTTTCCTTCCTTCCCTTCTTAAAATAATAATAATTTAAAAATCCCATTGAATTTCAAACCAATGGCTTCATTTTTTTTTAAATCGACTTTCAAAAAATCCCGTACCTTATTTCTTTTAACAGAGAAAAGAATTAAAAAAAATCAATGGGAAATTAGTCTAAATTCTTTATTCAGGTTCAGAACAATTAAATGAAAATTAAGCAAAGAAGGAAAACATACGAATACACACACACGGAAACGATATCTAAATTCTGCTTTAACGTCTTTTTTTTCCAACAAGGGAAAATCTCTTGCTATTAAGCAGATATTTTAACCGCTCAAACTGTCGGGCTTTTCAGGGCATCCTGTAGTCAGCTGAAGAACAAGCGATCATAAAATAACTCCACACCTATTTCATTGCGAAATCGCAGGTCCCAACTTTCGAGACATTCCAGTTCCACAGAAGAGAGCAGTTTAAGAGGCAAATATTACCTTGCTTGCCGTAGACCCGAAGGAGCTCGTTCGGATGCTGTTCTGCGTCTCGGAAGGCCGACGCGAGCGAGTTGATGATGAAGTTGAAGACTCGGCCACAGATGTCCAGACACAATTCTTGGTTTGTATTCCAGAACAAGAATTGCGTTTGGACAATCAGAAGCAAAGGTTCCAGGATCTCTCCGTGTTTTGTGTTGACATCTCTCTTACGAGGGGAGAAATAAACCAAGCAGCAGCAGCAGCAACAAGCAAACCAAAATAGTTCTTTTCCTAGGGAAAAATGCAGTGTGCCCAAACTGCCCTCTCGGCCACAGCTGCCCTCCTCCTCGGTCCTCTCTCTTTATCTCTCTCTCTCCCTCCCTCCCTCTCCCACTTCTCCCCTCCTACTTTCTGCCTCTCGCGTCGTTTCCTCCTTTCTCACTTTTCATCTAATTCGCCAGATCGTTTTGCGGGGGGGGGGGGATGAAAACGCATTTTAAGGGATCCACCCCTTCTAAGCTTCTGCTGTTCTTCTGTTTAGCAGTAAAACTGACTAAGCTTTTAAAATAATAACACCCAAGTTGTATGCTTAAGTGATAAAATAAAAGGGATGGCGTATGAGTGGGTCTCGCACTCCCTTCCACACATAAACCCCACAGAAGATTTGGACACTGTGGACCCCCTTCCTCGTGGGTGCAGTGAAAGATATCACCTTCGGGATAAAACTCTTTCTTTTCTTTTTTTTAATGGGATCTCGGAACAGGTTGCCAGGCTCCGAGATGCCCAACATCCTCCGGAGAACACATTTTCAATCTCCAACCACCACCACCTTGTCACAAAAATTCAAAATGATTGTTTTAAAAAAGAAAATTCGTGTGTGTGAAATAAATATAGTGGTTCTGCATTTTGGACCATTTCATTCCCAGCTTGGTCTAACAGGACCAGAAAGAAGGAAATGCAGTTAGGATTCTCTTCCAGAATCCTCACTCTTTTTCCAGATCCAGTTTTTCCTCCGTAAAAATTAGATGCAGTTTTCCTGCTTCGAGCAGCAAAGGCCAGGCATCCAATTTTCAGGATGAAATCCCCCTCCCTTCATAACAACATTGTGCAGGCTCTTTTGCACTATCGAATCCTGACCACATTATTTCATTTCTCTGTTTCAATTGCATGATCAAAAATGGAATTCAAAGGATGAGCAGCAAATGGTCCATTACGTCGCCTGTCTCTTTCTCCCTCCTGGTACCAAACCTAAAGGTTTATCTTTGCAGTGGTCCGGTGTTTTATTTTTTATTGCTGTAATAAACACCCTGGACTTGAATCTACGGGTATCCGAATTAGAAAAGCCTCACTTCTTTTGTAAAGAAGTGGTTCTGCGCTCATTTGCTCATCTTTCCCCTCGAAATAGTTAGACCTCTCATCTGAGACTCAGCCTGCCCTCTAGAAAACTGCAGAAAGGGTCCAAATGGAGATTGAAATTTCATCTCAGCTGATTCTAAGGAGATGGGTCCCACAGAACTGGTCTAGTAAACCTAAAGTGGAGTCGCTAGCGGAGAGGAAAATATTACAAACCAGCCCCCCTCCCCACGCAGGCACACACATACACACACACGTGTGAAAATTAAAATCTCACTAGTCAGATTATATAAGAGTCAATCCAGATGACAAGAGAAAGAAAGAGAGGGGAAGCATTAATATTTTTGAAACCCCCACAAATCACTGATGACGATTATAATGATAATTACTTGAAAGCAAAACAAAACACAGGCGCGGCAGTTTGAAGCAGGAGCGACTGGATCCCAACAGACACAGCTGTTGATCCCTTAGTTTGGTATGTGCACTCAATTACTCTCTATCTCTCTCCCTTCACCCCCTGGAATGCCTTAGATTTTTTCGTCCAGATACCGGTGAGACTATCAATCGCCTACCGATAGGAAAGGAAGTGGGGGCAAGCATCCAGAAACAAAACACTAAAACAAAAACGAGAGCAGCATAATAGATAGTAACAACAACAACAATAATAATAGTATACAGTATTTTTTAACACTGGTCTACAAAAGTTACTGTCGAAGCAATATCTAAGCACGATTCCACTCCCCCGCATTGCCAATCCATGCAACGTGGAGAACCCGCAATTGCCAGCCGAGTTCCTTCCATCCTTACACCTGTTACCCCTTTCCTTCCAAGCCAGGCAGCGTGCACGTGGATCTTGGCCAAGACCTTTCTGCAGCAGCTCGCAGACATCCCCAAGTGACTTTTTCTTTTTTGAGCGGGGCGCGAGCGGGGGAAGCGGGCCGGAATATCAAGACGCTGGGTGTTTTCCTTCCAAATTTCCCCCTTCCCAAATCTCCTGCGCGGGTTGTTTTGCCTCTGGATAGGTTTTTATTTTATTTATTTTACCCGCGCGCCCCCCCTCTGCCCCCTTCGCTCCCCCCTCCTTCTCTGCCTTGTATCCTTTGATGCTTCGCGCAAATCCGTCCGAGCGAGCAGCATCCACTGCCGGCTTCCCATTCGCTGCCGGGGATGCAGGAGACGAGCGCGCGCCGGCGAGGCAGAGCATCCTCTGGCTTGGTCCAGAAAAGGCCTCCGGAGCTGTGATGCACGAAGTCGCTCAGGAAGCAGCTAACTGAAGGCTGGGTCTGGCTGGAGCAGGGTTTTTACTGGAGCCCGGCAACAATAAGAGTGTTGCAGAGGAGGGCTAGCAAAGAATGGGGATGGTCTGCAATTGGTACTGGATTTGAATAACACCACAGGGTGATAAATGTCCATTGTGTTTTAGGGGGTAATGAATCTCCCGCTCTCTTCAGAGCTCAGAAACAGCAGCTGCAACCTGGAGCCGGCCATCTCTTAAAGACACAGCAACCCAAAGCCTGGGCCCAAAGTTAAGGAAGCCAAGCTGTTTAGTCAGCTAATGATATGTGTGTGTGTGTGTGTGTGTGTGTGTGTGTTTGTGTGTAAGAGAGAGTAAGAGAGAGAGAGAGAGAGAGAGAGAGAGAGAGAGAGAGAGAGAATATTTCTATTCATTCTTTAAAAATAAAAATAAAAGTTGGACAAGGATATTATCCTAAACGATCAGGCATCCATTCTCTCTGTCTTTTAAAAATGAAGCAGCCTTGATGAAGCACACAATTTTAAAGGTTTGTTGTGAACTGTATTTTGCAAAGCACCTATCATCCTTGTGTTTCTTTTCTTGCTATAAGATTTTGTGAAAGTGAACAGAGAGGAAGTGTTAGGAAGGGATACTAATTTCTGCAGGTCTGATATACAATATTTCACAGATCATATGGTGCCTTTTTAATTATGTCCACATATTTAAAGGAGTAATTGATTTTCAGCATGCAGGAAACACATGCTCATATAGAATCCAAGTAAATCTGTAGTTGAAGTTGATTAAAACACACACACCCCAACACACACACACACCTCACATGTCTACTCAGCAGTAAGCCCCACAAAGGATAAGATTTTTACTTCAATATTGCAGCATTAGCTTTTTAAAACACGCACACACTCTGCACTGCAGGCCTTCAAAGCAGAGGCATATGTTATATGTTTGGAACCATTTTACAACTTTTAAAATACAACCTTTGAGGGGTGTATACACAGCCGCTCCAAAGATGGTTGGGGGTAGTGGTGCTAGGTGGTAACAGATGAAGACTTGTGTCTTTGTATAGGAACGTTGCAGGAAAATGTTGCTACTTAAATTCACTTTAAATAGCAGGTGCACACACAAACATCCTCTTACACACATAGCCTTTCAACAGTAGGGGCCTTGGCTTCTTAAAGTGGTTGTTTAAGAGCCCAACATCCTGGGCCTTTGCCTTCCGCTGCAAGCAGAAATGGGAGCCACAAAATAATACTCATTGTTTCCCACTCATGAATACTATAGTACTTGACACCCATTGGATTGCAGCTGCAGCAGATGAATCCTAGATCAGCAGTGCTCACTTAGATGCTGGGTGCTGGGAGACAGAGAGCCTATCAAAGGAGGGACGACAGAAAGTGTGTGTGTGTGTGTGTGTGTGTGTGTGTGTGTGTAGGGGAAGGAGAGTGCAGAGACTGAGGTCGCAGCCTGTAAATACATAAATAAATGAAACCAGCAAACAAAACAGCCAGATGAGCAAAGGGTCCAGCTTAACCTCTTGGAATGCAGAAAGGCCAATGAATGGGGATGGAGAATGGGGAACTCTTGACTATTGCAGTGATGGGTGGCCAGAGAAGTGAACTTCCCCTCCAAGAAGGTGATGAAGAGCTGTTGAGGATCCCCCCCCTTTAAAAAAAGAACCCTGCAAAGGAGCATAATCAGACCTTGCTCACTCCCCCATCTAAAGGGAAGTTGCAAGATGCTCTTTAGGTAAACCAGTAACTTAGGCTGGCTTAGGTGGTGGTGCCCAGGAGTCAAATCTGCCTGAAAGCTGGTCAGGATGTCCATCTCTTTGTCCCAAGGTTGTGAGATGTGGACTGTGTTTAGTGTTGAAGGAGAGGCACTCTGTGTGTGCTCCAAGGCACTGTTGCCATTAAAATGGCTTCAGATAGTCTGAGGCCTCACATCCAAAAGAGGTTGAAGGGCCACATTCCAATGGCTGTTTAAGGCAAAAATTTAGGATTATGGGTAAGAAGGAGACATAGATTGACCACAAGCAAATTTAGAGCCCTGAAGTATTGTGCTGACATGTGATAGGGGATATAACAAATGTTTTATACCCTCCCCTTTTGTTCCACTCTCCCCCACATCTGTCCACCACACTGAGCGGGTAGCTGACTCCATTTGCAAACAGTGTAAAATCCCATAGTAAACAGGCCAGGAAAAACCCACACAGCCTAAAACCATATAGGCATCTAAAACGGCTCAGCTAGGCAACCATTAAAAATAAAAAGCTGGTTGATGTGTTTGATCATCAGAGAAGTTTGACAGAAGAAGACTGTTTTTTTCAACATGTTACCAAAAGGACAGAAGCGTTGGTGGCAGGCTAATGCATCTCAGGAGGGAGTTCCTGAGATCGGGGCACCCAGAGCAGAGCTCCAAACAGTTATTTCTATTCTTTTTTATTAAAAAGATCTTGTGGAGTGGTTTTTAACAGCAGCGAATATAACCCAATAAGCCATGCAATAACAGCAAAGCAATAAATAAGAATAAATTAGCAGGAAAAGAGCATTAACAGAACAGCACCGGAGGTTAAAATAGCTGATCAGTTATCTGCAATGCTCTGGGGAAAGAGAAAGGCCTTTTCCTGGTGTCCCAAACAAGGGCCAGGCAAGCTTCCTAGGAGAGCATGAAGAGGAGCCAGGATGCAACAACAGAAAACAATTCTCTCTACATGCTTCAACTCCAGAGGTGGAGGTACCTGCCTGAAGATCACAGTG